CGAGGCGGGCAGATCACTTGAGCCCAGGAGTTTGAAGCCAGCCTCGCCACATGGAGAAACCCCATCTCTACTAAAAATACAAAAAATTAGTAGGGTGTGGTGGCATGCACCTGTAGTCCCAGCTACCTGGGAGGTGGGAGGTTAGCTTCAGCCCAGTGGTCGTTGCAGTGAGCCAAGATCATGCCACTGCACTCCAGTCTGAGTGACAAAGTGAGACCCTGTCTCAAAAAAAAAAAAAAAAAAAAACCCACCATACGCAAATACATAATGCTGACACCCTTACCCACCTACACATGTATGTACCCATACACATACATACACAGGCACATAATCAATCACAAAGCCAATCGTTCACATACATCAAGAACACACTACACTCGTTTAAGCCTATAATCATAGTACAAACACAAAGGCACTCCCTGTTCATGTTCCCGAAAATAGAACATAATATCTCTTCCCCATTGATCCAGACTAGAATTGGCAAACTCTGGCCCATAGGCCAAATGCAGCCTGCCATACCTGTTTCTGTAAATAGTGTTTTATTGGAATACAGCCATGCTTATTCATTTAGCTCTATCTATGGCTGCTTTTGTGCTACAATAGCAAAGCTGAGTAGTTCCTACAAAGACTGGATGGTCCACAAAATCTAAAATATTTACTGTCTGGTCAGGTGTGGTGGCTCACACCTGTAATCCCAGCACTTTGAGAGGCCAAGGCGGGCAGATCACGAGGTCAGGAGTTTGAGACCAGCCTGACCAACATGGTGAAACCCCAACTCTACTAAAAATACAAAAATTAGCCAGGTGTGGTGGCAGACACTTGCAATCCCAGCAACTCAGGAGTCTGAGGCAGGAGAATCACTTGAACCCGGAAGGCAGAGGTTGCAGTGAGCTGAGATTATGCCACTGCACTCCAGCCTAGGCGACAGAGAAAGACTCTATCTCTCTATATATATATATATTTACTATTTGGACATTTACAGAAAGTGTACCAATCCCTGATCCAGACTCAGCTTCAGAATTGAAGTTGGCAAGTGAAACAAGGTTAATTGCCTTTAATGTCTTGGCACTGAAAGATGATCAGAGAAATAAATGGATGGAATGGGTAGATAGATGGATGGGTGGACAGTTGGACACATATAGGTAATAAATCAGAGTTTTGCTCCAAATATCAGCGTTCTGCTGGATATAAACTGGGAAATCTTGGGGAAGATCAACATGCAGGTCTCAGGGAGTCTGTAAAGGAAACTGAATTCATGTTGTGAACTCAAAAGTATCTGAGACAGGTCTCAATCAATTTAGAAAGTTTATATTGCCAAGGTTGAGCACACACCCATGACATGACACAGCCTCAGGAGGTTCTGACGACACGTGTCAAAGATGGTTGGGGCACAGGTTGGTTTTATACATTTCAGGGAGGCATGAGACATCCATCAATATGTGTAAGATGTACACTGGTTCAGTCTGGAAAGGCAGGACAACTCAAAGTGGGGGCTTCCAGGTCATAGGTAGATAAGAAACAAAGGTTGCATTCTTTTGGGCCTTTGATCAGCCTTTCATTGAATACACAATTTACATGAAGGTGGGAGTAAAGGAATAGTCACACCAATGCCATAGTCTGGCTCAGTGGATCTGCATTTTTGCATAAACAATAGGGTAGTAAAAGCAATCAGATATGCATTTGTCTCAGGCGAGCAGAGGGATGACTTTGAGTTCTGTCCTTTGTCCTGCACCTGTGAAGATAAGCTATCAGTTTACATTGCCAGGGTGAAATTCAACACAACTGTTTTAAGGTAAAGCCCTTGAAGCCCACAAGGAATTTCCTTGCTTTTTTTTGAAAGGAGTTTCGCTCTTGTTACCCAGGCTGGAGTGCAATGGCGCAATCTTGGCTCACCGCAAACTCCGCCTCCTGGGTTCAGGCAATTCTCCTGCCTCAGCCTCCTGAGTAGCTGGGATTACAGGCATGCGCCACCATGCCCAGCTAATTTTTTATATTTTTAGTAGAGACAGGGTTTCATCATGTTGACCAGGATGGTCTCGATCTCTTGACCTCGTGATCTACCCGCCTCGGCCTCCCAAAGTGCTGGGATTACAGGCATGAGCCACCGCGCTCGGTCTTTTTTTTTTTTTTTTGAGACAGTCTAGCTCTGCTGCCCAGGCTGGAATGCAATGGCACAATCTCAGCTCACTGTAACCACCGCCTCCCAGGTACAAATGATTCTCCTGCTTCAGTTCCCAAGTTGCCAGTATTACAGGTGCCCACCACCAAACCCAGCTAATTTTTTTGTATTTTTAGTAGAGATGGGGTTTCACTGTGTTGGTCAGGCTTGGTCTCAAACTCCTGACCTCGTATCTGTCCGCCTTGGCCTCCTGAAGTGCTGGGATTACAAGTGTGAGCCACTGTGCCCCGCCAGATATGTAGCTTTTTTACCGTTGTGGCTATCTCTCAGGAATAAAACAGGAGGCAGGTTTGCCTGACACAATTCTCAGCTTGACTTTCCCCTTACCTTAGTGATTTGGGGGTCCTGAGATTTATACTCCTTTCAGTGTCAACATCCAGGTCCAAGTATGAACCTGAGACTGCACATATGCCAAATGGGTGAGCTCCTGTAGTGACCGTATGTCCTTTGTGACATGGGTATACCTGTTCATTGCATGTATTTCTTTGCAGTCTATGTGTGTGCCTGTGTTGTGTGGGTACTCCTGTCTCCTGTGTATGCACCTGGGTGATGCGGATGTGCCTGTACTCCAGCTGTTCCTATATGTATCAGTGCCTGGATGGGTCCTGGAGCCTCTGGCTGCTTTTCTCTTTATAGGCTCTGTCTCTCAAGCCTGGACTTCCCAGAGGAAGAAGAGAACAGTGAATGTGGGTGGAGGAGAGGGTAACACTAAAGCTGTAACAGGCACTGGACACAGATATCCCAAGTTTAGTCATCTTAAGCCTTTCCATCTTAAGCCCTAAAGCTAATACTCACCCCCTAGCTCTGGGTGATGCCAACAACTCTGAGGGCTCTGCCTCTTAGTAAACCAACACCCAATTCCTGGGGACATTTTTGGTGCCTTTTGCTACCTCCTCTTTAGGGATGGCTGTGGGGCACTTTGTCCTATGAGTGAGGGGTGAAGAATGTCCAGTCTCCTCCCCTCCTAATCACTTCTTCCATCATTCAGGTCTCCATTCACCATCTCAGTTCCTTCATTTCTCCTTGCCCAATCCCTCCCATAAGGAAGTCCCTAAAACAGGGTCCCAGATGTGGTCCCTAGCATGTGCCCCTCACACCAGGACCTCTTGGGAAGCTGAGTTCTAGGGCTCCATTCTCTCTGACTCCAGATTCACCACACTGAGAGGCACCCTCTAGACCAGTCCTGGATGGATTGCACAATCTGGAGACTGCAGAAGATCTCTACCAAGGCAAGCCTGGCCCTCCCAGTCCTGTCTGCCCCTCTGAGCCCCTGTCTAAGATTCCAGCCCATGGCACTTCCTCTCTCTCCTTTCCCAAAGCAAGAGCCACAACAGTTAGCCCATGACAGTGCCAGAGAGAGCCCTGGCCTGGAGAACCAAGCACCAGAAGGGAGACCAGGCCTCCAGCTCCTCAGCACCAGACCTGACCCAGCCAGGCCGGGAGTGTCAACGTGAGTGCGAACGTGAGTGAAAGGGTGAACATGGTGAGAGCACAGCTTCCCAACTCCCAGACTGCAGTGTGTCCGATAAAACCACCTGGCACCCATGGATCTCTCTGTCTGCTGCCTGTATGTGGCTCAGACAGGGGAAGACAAGCATGAGGGAGAAAGAGGGTGGGATGGGGGAGATTAAGGGGTATCCATTCCTCACATTTCAACCAGAGGAAACTTTCACCCTACTTATTTCTGATCACTCCCTTCTATACAGTCAGCCCAGCTCCAAGACTGTCTTTCCCCTTACTCAAACTACGGCTCAGTTTTGGGCCTTGGCTGCGATGTTAGAGGTCTGGGGGTGGCTATTTCCAACCTCCCACACTGGCTTAATTGCCCTTTCCTGGCTCTGCTACAGCACCTTCTACTTCCTCCAGCCAGCCTACTCCATTTACTGTAAGGCTCTGACTGTTCTCTTTTGATCCTCCCAGCTCTACCCTTCCTCTTTCTTCTTTCTTCCTTTTTTTTTTTTTTTTTTTGAGACAGAGTCTCGCTCTGTCGCCAGGCTGGAGTGCAGTGCTGCGATCTCCACTCACTGCAACCTCCACCTCCCGGGTTCAAGTGATTCTCCTGCCTCAGCCTCCCGAGTAGGTGGTCCTACAGGCGCATGCCACATGCCCAGCTAATTTTTGTATTTTCAGTAGAGATGGGACCTCATGATCGGCCCACCTCAGCCTCCCAAAGTGCTGGGATTACATGTGTGAGCCACCGCGCCTGGTTACCTGTCTTCTTTACTGCTATCTCCCCATGCCCAGCACAGTGCCTGACACACAGGTGGTCATTCAGCAAATATCTGTTGATTGAATGACTGCAGGAGGGAAAAAAAAAAATCACAGGAAGATAGGTCTCAGGCCAGAGACGAAGGGCAATGACCCATTCAGTGGCCATTCGGTGACTTAACCAAGGCCACTCAGCTAGGTATTTCCGTAGCCTGGCCTTTTCTGGACTGGACTCTCTCTAAGGACCTCTTCCTCCTCAGCCCAGCATCATACAAGGGCAGGGAGGCAGGCAAGAGAGGCACTTGGCAGGGCAGAAGCCAGGGAGGGGTAGAAGAGGCGTGGGAATTGGGAATACAGTACTGGACTGTGTTCCAACTGGACTGTGTTCCTCTTTTCTTGCTGCCTGATGCGAAAGCCTCTGCCTTCCAAGGTGGAGCTCCAAAACCTGACTCCACACCTACAAAAGACGGTCCTCTGCCTGCATCTTAATCAACTGACTCCGCCCCTGACCTCACCCCCTAGGAAGACGTTTCGACTCCGCCTCCTCCGGGAAACATGCAGACCCCACCCCTTCCGGGGGACAGGCAAGCCTAGTGCGCAACGGCATCCCTGTGACGTAATGGCAACGGTCCGTTTCCGGGGTGGAGCCAGGGAGGGCGGGAGTTTAGGCTGCGCTGACCCCTCACAGCCCCCCCTCCAGGTGACCCCAGCCTCTGAAAATCCTCACCCAGGGCCCCGAATCTCCCAGCCCCATGACCGCCAAACCTCTCGCCCAAGCCCCCGAGATGACCGGCTTCCTCACCCCTTAACCTAGTGCTTCCCAAATCTCCAAGCCCCCCCTGCTCCGCGGTGGCAACTGAGGCTTCCCGGGGGCATCAGCCTCAGATTACCTGAGAACCGGGCAGCCTCGTCCTGAGCATGACGGAGAAGGGGACCTGGAGCTAGGGAATCCCTGATTCAATCATGCCACTCCCCAGGAGACGTTCGGAGCCCAGGACATGTCGGGAATGAGGAGATACGAGGTGGCGCTGGAGGCGGAGGAGGAGTGAGTGGAGGCGGGTTCTGCGGAGGAGAAACCAGGAGGCTCCGGGGTGGGGGAGGGTGGAGTTCTGCAGGGGCGATGGGTGGGCGGGGCGAGCCTCCGAGGGGCGTGGGCTGCGAATGCAGCCGCTTTTGGGGGCGGGGCGGGGGGCGGGGCGGAGCCTTTCTCCAGGGCGAGACACCGCAGGGCGGAGTCTGTGGGGTCAGCTCCGCCCCGCCCCGCCCGGCCCGGCTCTGCCCTCTCTTTGCAGGATCTACTGGGGCTGTTTCTACTTTTTCCCCTGGCTGCGCATGTGGCGGAGGGAGCGGAGGTGAGGGGGCTGCGATACCGCGAACCTGCCCCGTGCATGGACGAGGCTCAGTCTCTGAGGACCCATCGGGGGGAATCCGGTAGCTCCTGCCCCGCCTCATGCCAGTGTCGGGTTGCCCCACAGCTCAGCGCACCCCGGGGAGCAGAAGCTGGAGCCTCTGCGAGGCCTGATGAGCTGTCTGTCTAGCGGCCTGGGCCCTGCTCCCCAGCGCTCGGGTCGTGGCCTCCCCCACCGCAGCCCCGCCGCCGCTGCCCAGCCAGCCAGTGCATTAAAGATTTAAACCGAAGCCCACTGTACTGACCTCCTGACTCTGCTGCCGCTGTCGCCATTCGAGCTGAGCACTCCTCCCCATACTGGCTCTGTTCCGTACTGACAGGGCGTCCCTTCCTGGAAGGGTGCCCTTCCATCTCAAAGCCCCTCATCAGTGTCAGGCCTCCTGTTACTATCACTGACTGTCTCTCCAACCCTACTCCCCAAAAACCCATATTGTAAGTAGCCTATATGAAGAGAACTAAATAATCCTGCCTGTTACTCCCTTCCTCGGAGCCAGGGCTTTGCCAACTGTCTGAAGAATCTTCTCTTCTGGAAGTGTATCTAAAACATTTTAAGAAGAGGTGTAGGATGCAGGCTATAAATGAGAAGAGGGGGAGGTTCCTAGAAGGTGCCTGTCAGGGTAAGGACTTGGGTTTGTGACCTTCTTTTCAATAGTTCATACCCCAACTTTTGGCTCCTCCAGTCTGATCCCAAGTTTAGAGATCCTTAGGCATCAGCCTACCTAGCAGTTCTTGCTACATCCCTAGGAGAGTCCTAAGGCTCTCTGCTGCCCCCTTCTGTCACCCAATCAGCCTGGGACCCACTACTCAAGTGGTGAGAATCTGGGACTGCCAGGTGGGCCCGCCTTCAGTTAGGGACTGGCCCCAGGACCAGAAAGGACAACACAAGATTAAGCTAAAGAGACAGCCCAGTTTCTGGCTGGGGCCAAAGCTGACTTTCAGCCTGGAGCTATCCCTGTTACAGCAGATTGTGGCTGGAGAGAAGACTTGGCCTTAAAGGGGAGAGATGGGTGCACACCCATAGCATTTGCTTTCTGCCTTCCAAAGGACTCTAGACTGATAAGTCCAGGAAAGACCAGAAAGTACTTAGCACACAGCCAACTGATGGAGAAGGTCTATGACAAACTGAGATACCTGGGAGATTTCCTTGGGATTTCCTCAGTGGCTACACCTAAGCCTTGGGGCACAAGTCTGGACTGGAGGGTGGGAGAGGGAATATAAGGCCCCTGGTACCAAAAGTTCAAGATAGGTGACATCTGGGCTATGGTCACCTTCAAGAAAGCACCCAAGCTCTTTCCTTACAATGTCCACATCAAAGATCCCTTCATCTATCTCAGACTTCTTGGGGTTTAAAAAAAAAAAAAAAGGCCCCTTCAAATGTGAAGTGCCCTGTCTAGCCCTGGGCCGACCCTTCACCAGGATGTGATCAGAAAACCTGAAGATCCTGGAGAAAAAACTCCAGGGAGGGACCTTCATGCCTCACCCTGGACAGAAGGGAGGAGAGGTTCGAATTTTCAGCCTGGAGCATGGCTAGTCCCTAATTTGGAAACTGAAGGCCCTCCTGATTGTTGAAGCAGCCCTGCAGCAGAAAGGGCTGCCCAAAGAAAGGCATAAGCCCTAGAGAGTGGCTGACTCTAGAGTAGAAGACTGCATTAAGACAAGGGCTGGATTAGTGCATTATGACTTAGCTTGTTTCAAATACAGAGCAGGACTTGCAGATTGAGACCAGGAGTGGGAAATTCTTCAAGGAGCCGGGGGCACTAAACTCAGAAGCATACCCCGACCCTAGGCAGTTCCCAGCTTCCAGGAAAGGACTGGATAAAGATCAATAGAAGCTTTGCATTGCGGGGAGTGGGGAAAGAAGGGAGTGATGGCTGGGTATGGGATTAGAAGGGAAGGCTATAGCTGGAGAGTGGGATGGAGGAGGTGTAGGAGTTGGACGTGAGGGTGTTACTGAACCCAGGTAGGGAGTGGGGATGTTCCTCCAGGCCCAGGAAGGAGGCTGGAATTTGAGTAGAACAAAGATGTAATCGAGTCTTGAGTCTAATGTCTCAACAAGTCAAGGACTGTATCTGGAGACCCCCAGGTCCCTGCTGGCAAGAGGTTAGCATTCCTGGAAGAGGACTAGGCAAAAACAGGAAGGTGAGATTTACTAGGCCTTTTACCTGTTTTGACAACAGCAACCTAGCACCAAAGAGCTTTTATCTTCCTTTCTTATCTACCCCACCTTTCCTCCCTGTCTCATCAGCCTGGGGAAAGCTGCCCAACCTCAGCAACTCCAAAGCACCCTTACACTCATATACCCATAGCCACATATTCACACTCATATACCTTTCCCCAGTTTCTCTGAATGTGGCTGACCTCAGCCAAGATGCCACCTTAGCATCCACCTGGATGACGTTCCTCAGTAGCTTGTCTGAGAGTGGCCTTCCAAGAAGGGCCTGCTCTAGGGACCCATTCCCATCAGTTTCTCCTGATAAGACAGGCAGGCCAGGGCAGGAAGTGGGGAGAAGATGAAGGCAAGCTGTGCTGGCTTGTCCTCTGCTCCCACCCCACCCACAACTCCCCCATCAGAATCTGTGTGTGCTAGTGTGAATTTACATGTAATTCGATGACTGTGAAAACACAACTGGGTGGGAATGGGACTTTGAGTATAACTGGGGCTCTATAATTTTGTCTATGGTTGTCTGATCATGAGTATGACTTTGTGAGGTTGACCAAGTAATCAAGGAGTGAATGTGTGGCTACAGGTATATGAGTGTGAATGTCTATCATTAGATGCCACTGTGGATGCCTGACTGCCCTTACTCTCTGTTCCATCAGTCCCTACATCACACACTAATCCTTCCCCCAGCTTGGCTGCCCAGAGCTTAGGAGCCCATGGGAAATGGCAGTCCAAGATGAAGAAGGGGTCTGTGGCAACAGGCTAAGAATTAGGGGCCAGAAGTGTCACAGGATATGCAATACATCTCCAACTGCCTCTGACTCACCTAGTGCCCCAGGTAAAAGACACACACATAAAAGGTAGGGGAGGAGGAGGAGAAAGAAGGAAGAATCTAGGCTGAGCAGCATGAAGGGACCCTCAACCTTCTGTAGCCTCCTGCTACTGTCACTGCTCCTGAGCCCAGACCCTAGAGCAGGTAAGTACTTGGGGGTATAGAAAGCTGGGGGTCTGGGTGAATGGGACGAAGTTGAAAAGACCCAGGAAATCCAGCCAAACCTCCAGCTGTCTGGCAGAGAGGTTCTTGGTCAGGATCACTCTGAACACTTGGCCCATTGCCTCCTAGCATCAATACTGCCACCCAGCACTAGCTGCTGTACTCAACTCTACCGAAAGCCACTCTCAGACAAGCTACTGAGGAAGGTCATCCGGGTGGAACTGCAGGAGGCTGATGGGGACTGTCACCTCCAGGCTTTCGTGTAAGCTCCCACCCGATACCCCTGACTCTGACCTCAGTCCCAATCCCTAATGCTGATCCCAACCCCAACCCTAACTGCTAATTCTGATGCCAACTCAGGTTTTCATCTGGTCCTTGCTCCTAACCCCTGGACCCTAATCTCATCCCCAAGCTATGGTCACAGCTTTGGACCTTTCTTTACTCAGACTCCACCTGGCTCGACGCAGCGTCTGCATCCACCCCCAGAATCGCAGCCTGTTTCGGTGGTTTGAGCAGCAAGAGAAAAGGCTCTAGGGGACTCTGCCAAACCTGAACCTAGGGAAAATGGGCTGAAGCCCCCAGTAGCAAAAATAATAAAGCAACATTGGATGATAATCTCTAAGTATAATCTCCGAGAACTTCCTTATTCTCTTTATTCACACCTGCACAATCCCTGAAATGGGAAAGGCCGAGAGCCAAGGACCCACACACACTCCCCAGGCACCTACATACATGCATGCAGAGAATACATGTTCCCTGCCTCACAGACACATGGTCACACATGGACACAGACGTATACATTACACACGTTCCTTGAGCAGAACTCCAACTCTGGGGTGAAATTAGAGGTACAGGCACCTTCCAGCTGGCAAATTTGAAATATAGGATCTCAAAGAAATGGGTTCCAAACAGAACTTCCAGCTGATTCCCCAGCCATAGGGATCTACTGTTCTGCCTGGGTTCTATCTGTCCATCCATCCACACCAGCAAGACAGAATTATAGGTGGAATCCGCCGAAACCCTCCTGGGTCCTCTACAGGTTTGGAACTCCTAGAAGAAGCAGGAGGCAAATCAGGAGACACAGTAGGACTGGATCTTGGCCCAGATACCCTGAGAATGAGGGAGGTGACTCAGTTCTAAACCCAACACTCTGAAGATGAGTAGAGGAGCCCAGCTCTGAGAGAGCCTCTTCAACACCCTGAAGATAAGGGAATGGACCTAGTAGCTCTGGGCCCAGACAAATCAAGAATGAGGAAGGGGACACTGGGGCGCGGTGGCTGAAGCCTGTAATCCCAGCACTTTGGGAGGCCAAGGTGGGCTGATCACGAGGTCAAGAGATTGAGACCATCCTGGCCAACATGGTGAAACCCCATCTCTACTAAAAATACAAAAATTAGCTGGGCATGGTGGTACACGCTTGTAGTCCCAGCTACTCAGGAGGCTGAGACAGGAGAATTGCTTGAACCCAGGAGGCGGAGGTTGCAGTGAGCAGAGATCATGACACTGAACTCCTGGACAGCAGAGCAAGACTCCGTCTCAAAAGAAAAAAAAAAAAAGAATGAGGGAAGGGACCCAGCACTGATCCAAGACACCTAGGAAAAAAAGGATGAATATCCAGCTCTGAGTCTAATACCCTGGAAGATTATTAATACTAATACCCTGGAGGGGAGCCCATCTAGGGTCCTAAGTACCCTGAGAGAAGGGGAAAAGACCCACTTCTGAGCCCAGGGACTTAAGAATGAAAGGCCCAGCTCTCAGCCTAGACATCATTAAAATAAAGAGACCCAACTTGGATTCCCAGCATGTTTAAAATGACTAGGGCAGCCAGCTCTTAATCTGGACATTCAAAATAGGAGCATACATCTCCAAGTCCAAATCTCCTGGATGTCCTACCCACCTGGACGCCTGTCCACTGGAATCATTGGGGCCAAGAACCCAGGCTTCGGGGATCCATCCTTCCCGCTTTGTCTCAGCCTCAGCCTGGGGCATAGAAAGGCAGCTGTCTCTCCAACAATGTGGGGTATCTCAGTCTCCTCCAAAGGGTTTATTAGTAAAGGGTCAGGAGAGGAATCAGCTATAATCAGGTGAGGCATGGGGGATGGAGGTGTGGGGAGGTAGTTCCAGAATCAGATAGGTTCAATGGGCAGTCATGAAGGGTGGAGATGAATGTGGTCGATGGGCATCAGAGCATTTATGAGGATCAGAGGCTGAAGGATCAATCGTAGTCACTTACCAGAGCCCCAGTGCCAGGGCCCCAGCCACCAGTCCTAGGAAAGAAAGGACTCCCAAAGACGCCAGCACAGCTACCTGCTCCATAGAGTCCCTGTGATCTGAGGGGGAGGGCCACATGTCACTGAGAGCAAGCCTGACCAAGCTCAGTGTCCCCTTCTCTCTGGGGTTTTCAGTCCTGTACACCTCTTGCCCATCTGCCCAAGCTCACCAAGTAGCTGAGGATGTGGCTGAAAGGAGGGTCTTGGAGGAGCAGGGCTGTCCTCCTGAGGCTCCACCTCTGGCTGTGTATGTAGCTGGTCCCCAGCTGGTACCTCCTTTGGTATAGTCCCTAAAGGAAGGCAAGACCCAATAAGTGTCCACACACTGGTGGGGGTAGGGCCCATGTCCTGCACTCAAGGCCAGGCATAGGTTGGAAGTTAGGGTGCCTAGAAGGAGACTGAAAGGGCATGGCCAGATCCTAGCGAGAAAGGCAAGCTCCAAGCTTGCAGAAGTGGAGCCTATAACTGCAGGGGCGGAGGCCAAGGGGCAGCACTTAAGCTAAGACACGGCTGTAGGCAACCAAAGATAAAGCCTGGGACAGCAAAAGCGGTGCCTGCATGGGCAGTGCATGTGCCACCTGGCTGTCTTTTGGAATTGGTTCAGCTAACTGATGTTTTGGGATGGGGCCTCTGCCCTTTTCTTTGGCTTTGTCTCTCACCAGTGCTCGGAGTTCCCCATGCCTCAGGGCTCCAGGTGCTCCAGGTGCCAGCATCCAGAAAGTCCCGGGCACTGACTCGTACAGCATGGGGCAGCCCAGCCACAGCATCTGTGATCACCTCCTCCAGTCCAGCTGGCTCCACCTGGGGGTGAACATGGCTCATTGTTACCCAGCTTGTAAGTGCAGGGCCTACCTAGCCATGATCTGCAAAGAACACCCCTTGCTTCCAGTCCTGTCCTAAAGCCTAGTGGAGCTGTCTAGGCCTCATGTTGGGTGTCTGGTGGGGTTGGGTCTACATCTAGTATTTGTAAGACGGCAGTAGTGATTACTTAGGCTGTGGCATCAGGCGGCCCAGGTTCAAATCTTTTCTGAACCACATATTGAATGACCCTTTGGGCTTCTCTATGACTCGGTTTCTTCATGTGTAAAATCGGGGTGGATATACTTAAAATAATGTATGCAAAAGGTATAGCCAGGTACCCCACAGGCAGGCAGCACTGAGTAAATATTAGTTATTATCTGATGCTGCTGCTCCCCAGGCCTGATACCAGCCAATCTTTAAGATCTCCTGAGATACAAATTCAGTGCTAACCTCAGCTAAGAATATGACTGTTTGCAGGAATGTGCCTCTAGGTGAAAGGCACTCCTTTTCCTAAGAGTTATTTTTTAAAAGCCATTGCTGTCTTCCCATGGATGGACTTTACATCATAGTTACAGTTCCACAGGACAGACACTCAGCCTGTCAGTCACCACTGCAACCCAGCACCAAGCCTGGCCCACAGGGAAGTGCTGGGTCTTCAATGACCTGCCAGAACTGGGAAGCTACGCAGAATACTCAGGGTCATGAAATCAGAGACAGGACCCACAGCCACGGGTTGGGACGCATTCCAGGCCTCACCATGGACCAGGCTGGATGTTGCGCCGGACGGTACTGCAGCCGGAACTTGAGCAGGAAGTGAGGCTGGCGGGGCCAGGAGGCAGGGTATGTCCAGCTGGCTCGCAGGCGTCGGGGATAACCTGGTACCGACTCTACCCGCAGGCCCTGGGGTGGGTCAGGGCGCACTGAGGGCATCAAGACACAAAGTCAGGGTAGACTATGGGTCTCCATCACTTCCTCACCACTTCCCAAGGTGTGTGTTTAAAGGAGCCTTAACCAAACACTCCTGAGAGGGGAGGGAAAATCTTAAACTTGATCACCTATTAGGCTCAGACGGGTCATCTGTATTATGAAATGGGCTGAGGCTGGGTGTGCTGGCTCATGCCTGTAATCCCAGCACTTTAGAAGGCTGAGGCGGGAGGATTGCTTTATGCCAGAAGTTTGAGACCAGCATGGGCAACACAGCAAAACCCTGTCTCTACAAAAAATTTTTAAAATTAGCAAGACATGGTGGCACGTGCCTGTAATCCCAGCTTCTTGAGAGGCTGAGGTGAGGGGATAGCTTGAGCCCAGAAGTTGGAGGCTGCAGTGAACCAAGATCACACCACTGTACTTTATCCAGCCTGGGCACAAAGTGAGACCCTATCTCAACAGAAAAAGGAAAAAAGAAACCAGCTGAGATCTGTGGGTGGGCTTTTGAAATGTTTGTTGAGTGAATAAAAGAGCAATTCTTTTCATCCATGGAAGGTGAGTTGGCCCAAATTCCAGCTAGAGTTTTAGTGTCCCATCCCCACTCAGATCAAGGAAGGAGGGGCCAGCAAGGGAGGACATAACCTAAAGCTGCATTCGGTACAGGGCCCAGGGCAGGGAGTCAGCCCTGAGGCTAGGCAGCCAATCAGGCAGTATTGGCAGCAGCAGCCTCTAGAGTATGTGCTGTGTGGTAGTGGAGAGATCTGAGTCCATTTTGCGGTCTCTGTGATGGGGGTCTGGGGAAGGTCTACGGGTGGGTACTCACAGATGCTCTGCAAGCTCACATCCAGCAGGCGTGTGCTGGCACCCAGTGGGTTCATCTCAGTCACATTAATCCGGTACTGGCTCCAGAACTCAGCCCCATGGACCACACAGCGGGCAGCCCCTAGGGGGTCCTGTGGACATGGCCAGGGCCCTGGAGATGGACTCTTCCTAGAAAGAAGGACATGGTCTTGGGCTTTGAAAATACCTATTGTGGGACCCAGCTGGAGCCCCGACACACTCCCTTATGTCCTACCTCTGACTATCAGCTCCTAGGACTGTCTTCTTCCTGGTGAAGAGGGGGCCATCTGAAGTCAGGAAGGAAAAGAGGGCCTTCTGCCCTCTCTGAGGTTTTCCTCAGAACCTACTCCCTGTCTCCCACACCCACATTGTGCCAGCATACCCAAATGTGTAGGCATCCACACCCGATCACACACACACCTGTAGGAGGTGAGGTAGCGGGTGGGTAAACCACTGATCTGACTGGGACTCCAAGTGCAAGAGAAGTTCTCATAGTCGGCTGCTTGGCAGGAGACAACAGGGCGGGCTGGGGGGTCTAGAGGCAGAGGGTACAGCTGGAGACTGAGCAGTACTCAGGTCCTCCTGGTCCCAGAGGGCTTACTCAGGTCCCATACTTCCTCAGGATCCCCATGTACCATCACTGCCATCCCCCCCAACTCACAGCCCAGCTGCAGGATCACTGTGCCCCCAAGGGTACCATCCAGGGTCCGGCAGATGTAGGTACCCTCATCAGTGCTGTCTGCCTGGGCCAGGACCAGTTCATGCCCTAGCCCAGAGTCAGGTCCCTGGAGCAGCCTTGGCTCCCCGTCCCGAAACCAGGACACTGGGTCCCTGGAAGTAAGATGAGGTGACGATGGACAAACACAAGATATTAAGCATAAATCAGACAATGCCACAGTTCTCTACTGGCTTCTTTGTTGATACGGAGTCTCACTCTGTCGCCAGGCTAGAGTACAGTGGTGCAATCTCAGCTCACCGCAACCTCCGACGCCCTGGTTCAAGTGATTCTCCTGCCTCAGCCTCCCAAGTAGCTGAGACTACAGGCACACACCACCACACCCAGCTAATTTGTGTATTTTTAGTAGAGACGGGGTTTCACCATGTTGGCCAGGATGGTCTCAATCTCCTGACCTTGTGATCCGCCCACCTCAATCTCCCAAAGTGCTAGGATTACAGGCGTGAGCCACCATGCCCAGCCTCCACTGGCTTCTAACTGCATTTACGATAGAACCCAAATTCGTTTTATTGGCTTTCAAAGCTCCTTGTGAGGTAGCTTTTGCCTTCCTTTCCCTCTTCAGTTCCTATCTCTCTCCTGCTCACCCACTGCACTCGAGCTATATTGGTCTTTTTTCTAGTCCTCCGGGGTATTGAGCTCATTCCCACCTCAGAGCATTTGCACTAGCTGTTCCCTCTGCCAGGAACGGTTATACCTTAATATGCATGTGTGGCTGCCTCCTTCATAACCTTCAGAAATCAGCTTCAATATCACCTCCTCAGAGAGACCTTTCCTAACCACCAATTAAAAAGTAACCACAAGCCAGGCATGGTGGCTCACGCCTGTAATCCCAACACTATAGGAGGCTGAGGTGGGTAGATTACTTGAGGTCAGGAGTTCAAGACCAGCCTGGCCAAAACGGTGAAACCCTGTCTCTACTAAAAACACAAAAAAATCAGCCAAGTGTGCTGGGGCGCGCCTGTAATCCCAGCTACTTGGGAGGCTGAGGCAGGAGAATCACTTGAACCCATGAGGCAGAGGTTGCAGTGAGCCCAGACTGCACTACTGCCCTCCAGCCTGGGCAATAGAGTGAGATTCTGTCTCAAAAAAAAAGTTGTCCTCTTCCACATCCTTCTCTTTGGCGTTTCTGCCCTGCAGGTATTACTACCTGGCAAGATTCTCCTTTGCTTATTGTCTTCCCCACTAAAATGTTAGCTCCATGAGGGCAGGCTCCTTGCCTGGCCTTAGCACTGCTATATCCCAGAGCCTAGAATAGACCAGGCACTTGGCAGGTGCTCAAAACATACTGGTTGAATTTTCTGTTGCATAAGGATGGTTGGAGGTTTAGGACAGAGATGTGGATCACGGACAGGACGGCAAAGATGGGAGGGGCGGGACATGAGGACTGGGCAGAGCCAAGAAAGGGTCATGAATGTCAGACCAACAGACAGGTGGGGCACTTACCCAGCAATTACTCCAGGACAACACAGCTTCACGGACCTGCCCAGCTGCCCATACTGGACCCCTGTGGAGGGTACTTCTGAGGTAAGGTTCTTCCTTTACCCCCCTCCCCACTTTGTGAGAATGACAGGTAAGAAGCAGACTGTTAAAACCTGGATGGTGGGGTGGGGGGCCACTTACTGGATCAAAGCATTATGTTATCATCTAGAGAAAGAGGTCAGAGAACAGGACAGAGAGGGGACCCAGGTTGGATGACAGGAGCAGGGGTGGGGTCACAAGTTAGGCATGGGAAGGGGCCACAGTGACAGTGGCAAGTCATGAGTCAGAACTGGGGGGTCACAGAGCAGGATTCTTCTCACCTGGGGGGCCCCAGGCCTGGGGGCAGGGGGAGGAGGCAGACACCAGGGCTGTAGCCACGGCCACCAGGACCCTGCTCAGCCCTGAGCAACTGCTGTTCATCTGTGGGGAGAGGTAGAATCAGAAACCCCCCACCCCTGAAATGGGAAGCTAAAGCCTGGCTCTTCCTCTCCAAAACAGGCTTCCTAGGAGGAAAATTGATGTACCAAGTTGGGTAAGGCTGTGAGAAATCACTGGGGGAACTGACCTGAGATCCCCTTTCCCACTGTATAACCAGTGCTTCACATGTACACACACACACAAACACACACACACCCTCACACCCTCCATCTCAGTCCTGGGCTTAGGGCCCAGAACAAAAGCCGGAGGCAAAAGACTATGCCAGCAACTCCCCCCTCCACCACCCTTGGCACCCACCCCTGGCACCAAGCACTGGCACCAACTCAGCCACTCCAGTTAACCCCTCAGGTCCAGCTGTTAGGAATTCTGCTATTTGCCCCCACCTGGTCCAGGGCTTATCACTGCCTCTGATTACCTGAGCAGACCTTATCACCCTGGGGGAAGGCTGTCATCGTGGATCTGAACCCATCCTGCACTCCCACCCTGAGGTCTAGCCCTGCTCTGGCTGCCAGGCTTTTCGCCTGAACCTGGCTCCTTGCTCTGGCTACTTGGGCCACTCAGCTGGGCCTGGCTCTGACACTTTATTGGTCTCCAGTCTGTGAAGCTGGATGGGGCTAGGGTGCAGGCTGGGGCTGTGGAGTTAAGCAGATCCAGATGCCCTGGCTGCTGCCAGAGGCTGGGGGGCGGGCGAGGAGCCAGCAGATGGAGATGGAGACAGGGTGGCGGGGAGGGAAGGGGATGGGAGGCTGAGAGGAACCGGGAGCCTGCAGGGACAGGGGCCTGGCATGGGGGCCACAGCACCAAGAGATACTCAGAGATCAGGACGAGGAGGTGATGTGGGCTTAGTGTGGGGAGGATTGGGTTGGGGTCAGGAGCAACTCAAAAAGCTAACTGTGTCTATATGATGGGGTGGGGGATGCTAGGAGAGAGAGATTCTGGACAAGGGGGAGCAGAAGGAGGAAGGCAGTGGTGAAGTGGATGGAGAACGAAGGGGCAGGTGGGGAAAGGGCTCTGAGTACAAGACCAGAAGAGGAATAGCGCGGACCCTTCAGGAGTAGGAGTAAAGCAGAGCAGGGCCTCCACGTGTCTGTATGTCTGAGTGTATCCAGTTGGCTCACCCCTGGACCCCAGCCACACTTAACCCTGCTTAGCCCCACCCTACCTTGGTGATCCCAGCAGCAGAATGTCCATGGCCTTCAGGACTTCCTCTCACCAGCTACAGACCCTGTCTCCTGCTCCACTCAGTTCTGGGACCCCAGAGCCATCCCCTCCTTCCCCTTCCCTGCCCCGCCCCCTCTAAGCCTCAGCCACCCCTAGCCAGGCCCCCTCCCCGCTCCTGCCTCCTCCCTCCCTCCCTCCCACCCAAGGCCCTAGGAAGGGAAGAGGCCTCCCCCAAGTCTGGAAAGGAAGCCACAAACACAGCCAAGGACAGCAAGAGGGAAAGGAGGGTGGCTAATACTTATGTCCCCATCAGTGAGAGATGCCCTGTGTTTTCACACAGCCAAACATAGTCATATTCACACATGGACTCATAAGGCACAGTTAACAAAAGGACATGCCTTTGAACACACGTGGATACAATCAAATGAAAAATAAGATATAAACTCACCCTCTTTTCATTCCTCACCAAATGTTTCCTTGGGGCACAACTGGCTGTGCTTCCAGGGGAAGGGAGGCCCTAGGTTGGGGGATATAAGGAGAGGCCAAAGAGTCCAGTTCCCCCTTCCCTGGAAGTTCCAGCCATTTCTCACCTCCCCCTCCACTCTTTGGGCCCCAGCACCAGGAAATGCCTTTGGTCCCTTGGTGCCAGATACACAAGACCCACAGTTACTCTCACACTCGCACTCTCTCACATACGGTCACTCACATTCACACAGACACAGCCACACAGCCTCAGACTCAGACACACACATATTCACACAGTCACACACACACACACAGCCCCTACCAGGGCTCACAGGACCGCCTAAAAGCAACTCCTCATCATGGTCTAAGCCCCATCTTCCAGGGAGCTCTTAGCAGTGGCAGACCCACATCTCATCACTAGCCAAGGAGATCAAGATCAGCAGAGAAGGCAGGCACAGGGGCAGAGACAGAGGGCAGGAGAGGCAGAACTGGAAATGCACTCACACAGAGAGATTTGGGAGAGGGGGCACAAAACTGAAGAGACACACAGAATTCTCTAGTAAGAGCAATAGGGAGAGAAAACGGCATGTAAGGGAAACTGAGCCAAGCAGGGAAACAGAAAATAAGGAGCAGTAGACCTGGTGCTGGGGATTCTTGAGCAGAGGAAGAAGGAGGGGAAGCCACATGTGTTGTGGGTGTGTCTGTCCATGCTGGACACTTAAGAGAAAGGTCAGTCCCATGGGCTCCTGAAGGAGGTCCTCCAATATGTGAATACAGCTGTACTCTCACACCGTCTAAGTTAGGACCCAGGACACACACAGTCAGAAACCTCATTTTTGCTCTGCTACTTACTGCTGAAGTCACACATTGGCACACACAAACCCAGCCACCAACTCTCACGCTGGCAGATATGGCATCAAACCCCACAGAGACCTTCCCAAAACACTTTCCCTAATGTGGTCACAGTCCCTCTCACACACACAACCCAGTCCCACCAAAAATGTGCAGACTGATACACACATAATCCCACACTTGCACACAGCCACATGCAGACCCAGCTTCATGCACACTGACACACGCAGTCACATTAGCACCAAGTGACACTTGGAATTGCACACAATGATACTGTCACACAGACACAGCCTCACAGGCACACACACACACACTGACAGTCGTCAGTCACTCTGGGCCTTTCAAATCATACATCACCCTGCCCCGCCCACTCCTGGCAAGACTGGCGTCTACACCAGGCCTTACCTTCCGCGGCCGCTGCCGCCAGCGCCCTCTGCCCTCGCCCTCTGCCCCGGCCTCTACTCCCTCCCGCCCTGCGCCCCCGCAGTGGGGGCGGCTCCGCCCAGGCACCAATGGAAGGAGAGGGGTGAAATAGGGGGGCTCCTGGCCCATTGGAGACTCCAACTGCCAATCACCTCCACCCCCACCTCCGCCGGACACTTCCTGTCCCGTCCCGGACTGTAGAGGCTGCCTGGGACAGAGTCTAGCTGGATTCCTGGGTCTCCGCCTGAAGGCCTAGCCACCCTGGGACAGCAGGACTGGAAGCAAGAGCCACTGGCCAGGTGACTGGAGAAGCTGAAGGTGCCCCCTGCCTTCAGATAAGATAAGGAAGAAGGAGGGCTGTTTAGGGCACTGGTTCTCAAACTTTGTTGGATATTGTGGTTTCAAAACTGCAAAACCCCACCCCATACCAATTAAATCAGAATCTCTGGAGGTTGGACCTAGGCATCAGTATTGTTTAAAACTTCCCAGATGATTCCAAAATGCACCCAAGTTAGAGGTGTAAGGTGTGTCAGGTGTATGTGTGCCTCAAGAAACCAGCCACCCACCCAGGGTTCTCATCTGTTCCCCAGTCACCAGTAGCTCGAGGGAAATGGGTGCATACTATGTCTATCGGATCTTCCAGACCAGGGCAACACTCCTGAGTTCCAGGTACTTCCCCTCCAGAATCTCACGGAAGAAAGACCCTGGCCTGGAAGGCAGGCAGCCAAGGTTCTCCTGGGCCAGATTCAGTCACTGTCCAGTCTTAGTGTGATTTCCCCACCCACAGGCTTGGTTCCCCTGGGAAAGGAACGAAGGCAGAAATCATTCTGACCATCCCTGCATCATTCACAATCCCTGCCTTCACCTGAAAATTTGGAGGACACCAGATGGCATCAGGTGTTCTGTGTTGCATGGACTGTTGTTCCCACAGTGTTGCCAGGGAAACAGGTTCAGAGGGGACAGAATAGACCCCAGGTCGCTTTGAGAGCCATAGCTTCCTTCCAGGCCCTAGGGTTCCTAACTCCAGCAGTCCCTTCCCTGTCGGAGCTGTTTCTGTTTGTGCAGTGATTGGAGCACAAGGGCAGCAGAAGTATATGGTGCCCGCACATGTGAGTCTAGAGGAGCCAAGGACACAAAGCCAAGTACATGCTCCCTGCATGCTCCCTACCCGCCCCTTTAGCCCCTGTGGGCTGGAGCAGAGCCAAGCTGCAGCCACTCACAAAGCCAGGGTTCTGGCCAACAGCCCAGGGTCTGGCCACTGACCACTTCGACCAGGATCCAGCTCACCCGCTCCCTGTCAAACCCTCAGGCCCAGGCTTGGAGCTGACACTCTAGGGGTGGTGGCAAAGGGGACTCTAGCCTTCCCAAAGCCTCAGCCACAACCAAGAACACAATTTTAAAACAGTTTCCTAAACCGGGAATGCTGTCATTACACCAAGAGTAGGAGAATCTATAGGCTAGATGTAATACTGAGTATTAATTTTGTTCAGAGATTTGGGGTAGAATTTTTGCATCAAGATTTTACATATCTGCAGACAAAGAAAAGCTGTAGCTGGAGCTATGCCTTATTTAGCTTTTAACCCTAGATCTCTAAAGGTTCACACTCCTCTGATATTAGAGTAAGTGACTGAAGTTTGAGATGCACAATTTTATTAATGCTATATCGGCCCAAATTCCAGGACAGGATTCAAGGCCCTGTGGTTGGCATGGTCAGGCGATGGTTGCTGTCTCCCTCTCCTTCTGTCCCAAGCGGTAATGAACCTCAGGAAGTGCCCTTAGTCTCTCCGCAGCCTGGAAAAGGGACAGGGAGCAATTAAGGAGGATAAGGGCTGGGCTGCCAAGAATGGTGGTATGGACTTGTTTTTCTGTTGTTGTTTGTTGTTTGAGACAGGGTCTTGCTCTGTTGCCCAGGCTGGAATGCAGTGATGCCATGATCATGGCTCAATGCAGCCTCAAACTCCTGGGCCCAAGTAATCCTCCTATCTCAGCCTCCCAGGTAACTGGGACCACAGTATATGCCACCAACCTGGCTAACTTTTAAAAATTTTTTGGTAGAGACAGGGTCTTCCTATGTTGCTAGGCTTCTGGGCTCAAGCAGTCCTCCCGTCTTGACCTCCCAAAGTGCCGGGATTAAGGCATAAGCCAAAGCACCCAGCCAGTGTTATGGAGTTCTGGGTGCTCAGGAAACACTTAACTGGATATTATAGTTTGAAATATGAATATGAAATATGAATCCCACAGGCCCACTCCCAGATTGGGAGGCTGGTGATAAGGACTGCTGGAGCCACCAGGGGATGAAAGAGTTGAGCAGCTCCTCAGTCCCAAGGAATGCCCAGGATGTTATGGGAGTTATCAGGGTCATGACTGTTGGGATCCCTAGAGAAAGCAGGAGAGAAAGGTAACATAAGGACCATATCCTCCTTCCAGGCCCTAGGGCTCCTAACTTTGGCAGTCCCTTCCCTGCCAGAGCTGTTTTCTGCCTTGCGCAATGATTGGAGCACAAGGGCAACAGAAGTATCTGGTGCCTACACATACTGTATGTAAGTGTCTGGAGAAGCCAGACTGCTCTGAGTCCTGACCTGCTCAGGGGTGAGGTCCCTCTGAGCCTGAGCAAGCATTTCGTAGCCAACCATGAATTTCCGGACAGTGGCAGAGCGCAGGAGCGGAGGGTAGTAATGAGCGTGCAGCTGCCAGTGCTCCCAGTTGGCCCCGGCCTCTGATCCTGTGGGAGCCCCTGACAGAAATAAGAAAGACAGTGGGGAGAGAGAGCCTTTTTTCAGTTCTCCATCTTAGCCCCTAGGCCCAAACCCAGCCAGGTACCTGAAAACCACATCTCCCAGGATCCCCTGCCTGAGAAGAGATGGCAGGAAATTAGAAAGCACATTGGAGACACAGTTTCACCACATTTGCTGCTCCAACCTCAGTCCCAGCATCTCTGCTCTGGCCACTTCCCCCAGCAACCGCTTCAAGTCTCGCTCGTTTGGGATTGCAGTTCACTAAGCCGGGCCCCAGGAGCCCAGAAAGGTGTTGGGGCTAGATATAGGTACTTGAAAAGCCTCACCATGCCAGCCCATGGAGTAGGGAAAGGACGTCTCAAATAGGTTGTCATACTTGGTCAAGAGCTTCTTCATGATGGAGGCTAGATCTGGAATCAGAGCCTGACTCTCAGCCTGGGGTGCAGATGCTGACCCTACCGGAAGCAACCCCCACCCAGTGCCTAGCACCAGGGTCCTAGTTGGAAGACTGACCATCACGCTCTGCAGGGGTCAGCTCAGGTAGCCGTCGCACATGCCGACGGGGCAGCAGCAGTGTCTGGTAGGGCCACGTTGCCCAGAAGGGAACCAGCACTAACCAGTGCTCACTGGTTAGGACCAGACGTTCCTAAGCAGACAGAATGGATAGGAAGTCACCAAAGTGACATAGGGGCCAGGGTGGGGTCAGCAAATAGGCAGGGGAAGCAGAAGAAAAGAATGTGCCCAGGATCTGATGGCTTCTCAGCACCTCCACCATTAACCACCTGAGTCTAAGTCACCATCATCTTTCCTTCACATTACTGGATTATTGCTAAGGCCTCCTAGCAAGTCTTTCTGCTAGTTCCCCTCTAGCTTTCTCCTTTACACACCTCTCTTGCGTGGGGTAAGAAAGCTAGGGACTCCTTGGGGACACAGGGCTTGGCTCTCTCCCACCTTCCTGAGTAGCTCCTGGCGGCTATACTCCAGTAGTAGGGGCTCTCCATGCTGACTCTTATAGGCCTGCTGAGATCGCTCCTCACGCTGGGCAATATCTGGCAGGAAACTGCTGGCCCACACCTGTCAAGGGACAAAAGCAGAGAAGAGCAGGCAGTTCCTTTACCTCCAAACCTCCACATCACTTGCATATATCCTTTGTCCTGTCCACAGTGCTGGCTCAGACTCAGCCAAGAAACCAACCAGAGCCCTGACACCCTTACCTGGCAGTGGGGGTGGGGGTTGGAACAGCCCATCATGGCACCTTTGTTTTCAAAGATCTATCAGGTAGGGGATAGGGAGATTTGTTAGCCAAAAGACACCAAGTCAACCCCCTCCTGACCACACCCTGTAGAAACAAATGTTACTCACCGGAACCAAAACTTCATCACCCCCTCCCTGCCCATCCAGGGGAAGGGGCATCCTCACAAACCTGCACCCAAGGGTACTGAGCACCCAGCTCCTCTGTGACTGAGGCCCATGCATCGACAACAGCCCGGATCTCAGGAACCGACATGAGTGGCAGCGTCACATCCGACCAGGGGTGGAAGCACATGACCTTACTGAGTGGTGAGGGGGAAAAAGAAAACCAAGAGGTAGGGCTTGTCTGTGCTATGGGCAGGGCCCAACCCCAATGCTGAGTCTCCAACCCTGGTATGAAAGTTGTAAGAGGGGAAATCCATAGTTACCAGACTCCTCGAGCAGACTTTGCTTGGAAAAGAGGATGATCACTGGGTCCTGAGGTAAAGAAGCATCACTTTCTGCAGCAGAAGACCCCTAAGAGGTCTAGCTGCCCTCCTCCCAACAGCAGTTGGAGCCAGGTTACCTGGACTGGGGGCATCAGGCTGCAGAGCTGGGAAGTCGTTGTCAAACAGGAAGGTGCTATTGTAGTGGGGATTCACCTACTGACAAAGATAGACTAGAAGCATTCACTGCCCCATACCACCAGTTACCTGATGGGATTCCAAGACTGGACAGGCTACAAGGGAGTAGGGAAGGCCCACTCTAGGAGACAAAAAATCTTGATAGGATAGGACCCAGAAGGAGGTTCACTGCCCCTTTGGGTGGAGGATAGCTCTAAGGAGGGAACTACTTCCTGTGGTCCAGCCCGCAGATGCAGGGCTCTACAGGCTTACCTCTCCATTGGCTCGGGTGGCCCCAGGACACAGAGGGTTGAGGGGGTCATGGCGGGGCACTGTCTTCAGAAGCTGGGGTTCCACTTGACCCTGCCAGGGTCGCTTCATGCGGTGAGCAGACACCAGCACCCACTCATCCTGCAGCGGGTTGTAGCGGATATGCTGATGGTCTGGGGGCACATAGTCAAGATCAGTCCGCAAAGCTCTCTATTTTATTTATTTATTTAATTATTGAGAAGAAGTCTCACTCTGTAGCCCAGGCTGGAGTGCAGTGGCTTGATCTCGGCTCACTGCAACCTCCACCTCCCAGGTTCAAGCGATTCTCCTGCCTCAACCTCCCGAGGAGCTGGGACTACAGGCACGTGCCACCACACCCGCCTAATTTTTGTATTTTTTTAGTAGAGGCAGGGTTTCACCATATTGGCCAGGCTGGTCTCGAACTCCTGACCCCGTGATCCGCCCGCCTCGGCCTCCTAAAGTGCTGGGATTATAGGCGTGAGCCACCGCGCCCGGCCGCAAAGCTCTCTAGCTCCCTCTCTCCTGGGTCTCACCCACCAGCAGCCCCAAGCTCGTGAGCGCCCTCTCCGCCCTGTCCCGCTCAAGAGCTAGAGGCCTTCCCAGCGCCAACTGGCCTGCAGCCTGCACACTGGCGACTGTTCGTCTTGTCTGTCTGGCTCGGAATGAGCGCTTCAACCTTCGGTGGGGGCAAGAACTTCCTAAAGAAGCGGAGGGCTTGGCTCTGCGCCCCAGCGAGTCCCGGCCGCGGTACGGTTACCGCTTGCCCGGAAGGTTGCTGCTGCGGTGTCCGCCTCTGACGCCTGCTGGCGCTGCTCAGGACCGGTTCCGCTGCGCGACATGAGGCCACCGGGGGATCAGCTGGAAAGTCTGCAGGGCGGTACCTTACCCTTCGCTTTCTCCGTCTCTGCCGCCCCGCCCTGCGCCGCCCCCGATGATTGGCTAGCCGCCAGCACGTGACTGACTGAGTGGGCTGCCCGGCCACCTGGAGGCGGGGCTCAGAGCAACTCTGAACCCTGGAGGACGGCATTGACGATCCCACTCCACCCAGTGCTGGAGCCACTACACTGGAAAAATCTCGGTGAAAGCTGCTTACTGCAGAATCCTTTGGCTCCAGGACGCCTACAGGACTTGCTTGCTGCAGTAGTAATTCATTTGATCTTTCATTCAGCAAATATTTACTGAGCATCTACCAAGTGCTAGGCACCTAGGCTCTATATGAAGCATTGGGATGCACAAGTCAGGCATTGCCTCTGCCCTGCCTGAGCTTACATTCTAGGGCGAGTAAGGATATGACCCTGGATCCACAAGCACCTCAGTCACCTACTCAGTGGCTGTAGCCGAGGAGAGGCAAACCCGGTGGTACTGAAGGAGTACTTCACCATAAAGATGATCCATCCCCAAAAGCAAAAATAAATTAGGGAAAAAGTGCTGAGTAACCATATTCTCTCCCTTTCTCTCAATCTTGCTCTCCTTCCTCTCTCTCTCTCATACACACACAAAGACAGAAGCACAAGAAGTGGGAGGGGTAAAAGGACTATAAGAAATCTAAAAATTTGGGGAGTACAGGACCATCAGAAATTCCAACCACCATCTAGGTGGGGCCTGGTGTTTTCTTTACACATCCTTTTCCCTTTTTAAAATTTTCCTTGGATCACACCAATTGGCTAACACTAGGATAGAATTCAAAGTAATTCCTCCCCTAGTTCTTTTTTCTTTCTTCTTTCTTTCCTTGAGACAGAGTCTCATTCTGTCACCCAGGCTGGAGTGCAGTGGCACAATCTCGGCTCACCGCAACCTCTGCTTCCTGGGTTCAAGCGATTCTCCTGCCTCAGCCTCCCAAGTAGCTGGGATTACAGGTTCCCACCACCACAACCGGCTAATTTTTGTATTTTTAGTAGAGACAGGGTTTCACATGTTGGCCAGATGTCTTGAACTCCTGACTTCAAGTGATCTGCCCACCTCAGCCTCCCAAATGCCTGGCGTCCTAGTACTTTTAAAGAGCCATCTAAATATTGTCTAAACCTCTTCCCCATTTCCCAGAGGGGACCAGAGGACTCAAGGTAACCCAGAGAATTAGTGGCCAAGCTGAGATTTGAATGCAAGTTTCCAAAGCTCTTCCCAGTGCTGTGAGATGCCTCTGAGACTTCAGTGGAATGCAAAACAGAAACCTAGTGTGAGTTAGAAGCTGAGCTATAGCAGGGAGGTCCCTTCCCCCAATCCAGGCCAAGCCAAGCCAGGTGTTTTGCAATTGAGCTGCAAAAACTAGGTCATGGGTCATTTACTTGATCTCTGCCCTAGGGTCCTCAGACTGGAATTGGAAGAGGCTACCTTTTGAGTTAGGAGGCAGGAAGCTGGGGACTGAAAAATAGGGGTTTTACCTGTCCCACTGGCTGTTCATAGTATCCAAAAAGGTGAGACAGAAACAGGAGATCTGCTTTTCTATCTTCTCAGTTGTATTTGAGTGACTAGAGTTTGTGGACAGCTCCATTTTCCCAAGAACACCAGTGCCTCAGTCCCACCTCTGAATCATTGCAACTAAATCCTGACCACCATCAGGAACATCTCTTCAAGAACATCTCCATAACTCTTCTCTTTCTGTGACTCCCCAAGGTCACTTTTTGGAGGAAGAAGAGAATGACTAAGATGGGGCCCACCCAGCTCCCTCCCTTCCAGATCCCAGAGGCGTTGTTACAGGAAAGGGGTCCCGATCCAGATCCCAAGAGAGGGTTCTTGGATCTCATGCAAGAAAGAATTCAAGGTGAGTCCATAGCGTGAAGTGAAAGTAAGTTTATTAGGAAAGTGAAGGAATAAAAGAATGGCTACTCCATAGACAGAGCACCCCTGAGGGCTGCTAATTGCCATTTTTTTTTTTTTTTTTTTTTAGATTTCTGTTGCCCAGGCTGGAGTCCAGTGGCACAATCTTGACTCATTGTAACCTCCACCTCCCAGGTTCAAGCGATTCTTCTGCTTCAGCCTCCTGAGTAGCTGGTATTACAGGTACGCGCCACCAGACCTGGCTAATTTTTGTATTTTTAGTAGAGACAATGTTTCATGTTGGTCAGGCTGGTCTTGAACTCCCGACCTTGTAATCTGCCTGCTTCAGCCTCTCAAAGTGCTGGGATTACAAGCATGAGCCACCGCACCCAGCCTTGGTTTCCCATTTTTATGTTTTTGTTTGTTTGTTTGTTTGTTTGTTTGTTTGTTTTTGGAGACAGAATTTCAGTCTGTTGCCCAGGCCGGAGTGCAGTGGCTTGGTCTTGGCTCACTGGAACCTCTGCCTCCCAGGTTCAAGTGATTCTCCTTCCTCAGCCTCCCAAGTAGCTGGGATTACAGGTGCCTGCCACGCCCAGCTAAGTTTTGTATTTTTAGTAGAGACGGGGTTTCACCATGTTGACCAGGCTGGTCTTGAACTCCTGACCTCAGATGATCCACCTGCCTTGGCTTCTCAAAGTGCTGGGATTACAGGTGTGAGCCACCCCACCTGCCCAGTTATTTCTTGATGGTATGCTAAACAAGAGGTGGATTATTCGTGCCTCCCCTTTTTAGACCATATAGGACAACTTCCTGACATTGCCATGGCATTTGTAAACTGTCATGGTGATGGTGGGAGTGTAGCAGTGTGGATGACAAGAGGTCACTTCTGTGCCCTTCTTGGTTTTGACTGGCTTCTTTACTGCAAGTTTATCAGCAAAGTCTTTATGACCTGTATCTTGTGTCGACCTCCTATCTCATCCTGTGACTTACAATGTCTTAACTGTCTGGGAATGCAACCCAGTAGGTCTCTGCCTCATTTTACCTAGCCCCTATTTAAGATGGAGTTGCTCTGGTTCAGATGCCTCTGACACTGATCTCTGCTATTACATCTGGGGGAAAGATGGCTGTGATCGCTAACCCCTTAGTCCCCTACCCTGGACACTCCTTTTATTATTATTTTTTTTTATTTTAAACAGTGTAAGCTGGAAACGCTTTTTTTTTTTTTGAGATGGAGTCCTGCTCTGTTGCCCAGGCTAGAGTGCAGTAGCATGATCTCAGCTCACTGCAATCTCCACCTCCAGTTCAAGCAATTCCCCTGCCTCAGCCTCCCAAGCAGCTGGGATTACAAGCACCTGCCATCATACCTGACTAATTTTTGTATTTTTGTAGAGATGGGGTTTCACCATGTTGGCCAGGCTGGTCTTGAACTTCTGACCTCAGGTAATCTGCCCATCTCTGCCTCCCAAAGTGCTGGGATTACAGGTGTAGCCACCATGCCTGGAAAGCCCTGGAAAATCTTTCTGAAAGACCAGATAGGGGAGCTGTAGGCCCTGATGATCCCAGAAAGCTGTTCCTGGAATAGGGATCAGAGACCAAATTTAGGGGCTAATCCCTGCTACTCAGGGTTGTTAGTGAATTGTCAGGTCAGAATGCCACAGAAGCCTGAACCAATGCAAAAACATCAATCCTGCATTCTCTTCTATATAATCCCTTCTTCTTCATCCTTAATTTCTCTGCCAAATTTCTTTTCTTCTGTTTATTTTTTTGAGATGGATTCTCGCTCTGTCATCCAGGCTGGAGTGCAGTGGTGCAATCTCGCTGCAACCTCTGCTTCCCAGGTTCAAGTGATTCTCCTGCCTTAGCCTCCCCAGTAGCTGGGATTACAGGCATGCACCACCACACCCATCTAATTTTTGTATTTGTAGTAGAGACAGGGTTTCACCATGTTTGCCAGGCTGGTCTCGAACTCCTGACCTCAGGTGATTCACCTGCCTCTGCCTCCCAAAGTGCTGGGATTACAGGTGTGAGCCACCGTGCCCAGCCCACAAAGTTTCTTAAAAACATGGGCCATCTTCCTGGCCTCTACACTTGACCGCACAGTATATTGTAACACATCTTTTGCCCTATGTTATCAGGGTAAGTAATCTTAGTTGATGTAACAAACAACCCCCAAAACCCAATGGCTTAGCACTACAGTTGATTCTAGGGGTAACAGGGAGATCTGTTTCAAGCAGCATTCAGGGATCCAGGTGCCATCCATCTAGTGGCTATGCCATTTCCTAGGGTCTCAGAATATTCTATAACTACAGTAATAGATAAGGGAAGAAAGAAAACGTAAAGAATTTCAAGCTGGGCATGCTAGCATGTTCCTGTAGTCTCCCAGGTACTTGGGAAGCCGAGGTGGGAGCTCACTTGAGCCTAAGAATTTGATACCTCTCTGGGAGTGACAGCAAGATCCTGTCTCCTAACAAGAAGGAAAAAAGAAGAATTTCAGAGGAGATTTTAGGAGCCAGGCCTGGAAGTGTCATACATCATTTCTATCTATATTTCCTTGGCCAGAATGCAATCACATAACCCAAAGTAGACTATAGAATATAATCTAGCTGCTCAAGAACAAAAGGAAATTGATTTGTGAATGCATAGCATTGTCTCTCCCATGTGCTTCTACTGAGAAGTCTAATGACCATTTCCCATCATCTTATTGAATCTCACAATTATATTTAACTGTATTAACCCTTCATTCCATCACTCTTGAGAGAGAAAAGAAACTTTAACTGAGAAATGCCAGCCCCTTTTAATTATCAGGCCCAGAGAGGCATTAAAATGTGACAGCATGGGCCAGGCGCAGTGGCTCATGCCTGTAATCCCAGCACTTTGGGAGGCTGAGGCGGGTGAATCACGAGGTCAGGAGTTTGAGACCAGCCTGGCCAACATGGCGAAACCCCATCTCTAAAAAAATTACAAAAAATTAGCTGTGCATGGTGGTGGGCACTGGTAACCCCAGCTACTTGGGAGGCTGAGGCAGGAGAATTGCTTGAACCCTGAAGGCAGAGGTTGCAGTGAGCCAGGATCCTGCCACTGCACTCCAGCTTGGGGGACAGTGCGAGACTCCATCTCAAAAAAACAAAAACAAAAAGAAGTGTGTTGGCCGGGTGTGGTGGCTCACACCTGTAATCCCAGCACTTTGGGAGGCCAAGGCAGGTGGATCACGAGGTCAGGAGTTCAAGACCAACACGGTGAAACCCAAGCCTGGCCAACATGGTGAAACACTGTCTCTGCTAAAATTACAAAAATAACCCATGCTATGGCATGCACCTGTATTCCCAGCTACCCAGGAGGCTAAGACAGGACAATCACTTGAACCCAGGAGGTGGCGGTTGCAGTGAGCTGAGATTGTGCCATTGCACTCCAGCCTGGGCAACAAGAGGAAGACCCTATCTCAAAAAAAAAAATTTTTTTTTTTTAAAGTGTGACAGCATGTAACAGAAGTCATATCTCAACTTCCCCCACCCACATCGAGACCAGCCTGGCCAATATAGCAAAACCTTGTCTCTACTCAAAATACAAAAATTAGCCGGGCATGGTGGTGCACACTGTGGTCCCAACTACTTAGAAGGCTGAGGCGAGAGGATAGCTTGAACCTGGGAGGTGGGGGTTACAGTGAGCCAAGATCGCACCACTGCACTCCAGCCTGGGCAATAGAGTAAGAATCCATCTCTAAGAAAATAAAAAATAAAAACTTGCTTTCATCAACATTCCCCAAGGCAACTTGGAAATGTGTCCTGAGGAGTTGTTCTCTACCTTGGCCCAAATAAACTCTCTATGTTAATTTGCCTCAGCTCTTTCTTTTCTTTCTTTCTTCCTTTCCTTTCCTTTCTATGCTAATTTTGCCTCAGCCCTCCCCTCCCTTTCCTTTTCCTTTCCTTTCCTTTCTGCCAGGGTCTCCCTCTGTTGCCCAGGCTGGATGGTACGAACTTGGCTAACTGCAATCTCCACCTTCTGGGTTCCAGCGATTCTCCTGCCTCAGCCTCCTGAGTAGCTGGGACTACAGGAGCCTGCTACCATGCCTGGCTGATTTTTTGTATTTTAGTAGAGACAAGATTTTACCATGCTGCCCAGGGTAGTCTCAAACTCCTGAGCTTAGGAATTACAGGCATGTGCCATGGTGCTGGGCCTTTTTTTTTTTTTTTTTTTTTTTTTGAGGCAGGGTCTAGCTCTGTTGCCCATACTAGAGGGCAGTGGCACAATTTTGGCTCACTGCAACCTCCACTTCCCAGGCTCAAGCGATCCTCCCACTTCAGCCTCCTGAGTAGCTGGGACTACAGGTGTGCACTCCCACTCCTAATTTTTGTATTTTTTGTAGAAACAGCGTTTCACCATGTTGCCCAGGCTGGTCTCAAATTCCTGGACTCAAGTGATCTGCCCCACTCAGCCTCCCAAAGTGTTGGGATTACAGGCGTGAGCCACCACACCCAGCCTCAGTTTTTTTCTTTTTTTAAAATTTTTTCTTTAAATTTTTTAAATTGCATTTTAGGTTTTGGGGTACATGTGAAAAACATGCAAGATTGTTGCATAGGTACACACATAGTTTTTTTCTTTAAGGTCAAAATGTATGAGGCTACTCTCTTCCAGTTCCTTTATGTTTCATATATATATAACCATCACAGAAAAATGCTCACCATATGAGGCACTGCTTTATAAATATTAAACTATTTAATCTCATCACAATGAAGATTTATATTATAAGGTAGGTACTTTTGTTCATTTCATTTTACAGGTAAGAAAACCACATCACAGAAATTTTAAGTAACCTGCCCAAGATCAGACAACTAGTAGGTAGGAGCCAGGCTTTGAACTCAGGCAGTCCAGCTTCAGAGTTTATTTCTTAATCACCGCACTATAATGCCTCTTTTCTCTTTTGTTTCTTTTCCTGTTAGCTTTCTTCTTCCTCTGCCTACCCTTTGCTGTTGGTGCTCTCCCAGGCTCTGTCTTAAGCCTTATCTTACTCTATTCTCACTCCCTGTGAGATTTTATCCTTTCTTAGAGGTATTCTGTAGACTCTCTAGTGAGATCTCTAAGCTGGGGAGTGGGACATTGTTTCCAGCCATATCCCTAATGGTCACCACAGAACTTGGCACATACAAGTGCTGACAAAATATCTGTTGCCTGAATGAATGACAACTCCCAGCTCTATCTCCAAACTGGATCTGGGCTTCCAGACCTGAACACTCAATTGCCAGCTAGATATGCAAAGGACGTTAGCCAAATAAGGGAAAAGTGGGGATAGGATAAAGGGGGAAGAGTATTCCAGGAAGAAGAGATCAAGCCCTGCCAAGTCCATTTGGATTTGTTAAGCTCATTTCTTTCTTCCATCTCCACTGACAGACCTTCTCTCTTACTTGGACCATAGTCATGGTCTCCTGACTCATCTTGCTCTCCTCCACGCGGTAGTCCTGTGCCACTCGGTGACAAAATCTAATCCCTTTCCTCCCCTGCTGATAACCCACAGCTGGTTTACAAGGCCTCCTCTCACATTTTGTGCTGCAGAACAGAGAAGGAATTGTAGGGCCCTGAAGACCCCACGCTGTCTCTCCTCGGGGGCCTTTGCTCTAGGGGCCGGTCCCTGTGGGCTGGCATGCCCCTTCTCCGCGCTCTTAAAGACACAGCTCAAGTGTCACCGCCTCTGGAATGCCCACCCTAGGGCTCCCAGCTTGAACTACCTCCTCTCCGCTTAAGCGCTGGTTATGGCGAGTCTTAACCATCGTGAGTGCCAGAAGGCTCAGCTTTCGGGCTAGTCTGCTTCACCAGCCAGTGAGCTCGTGTGGGCTAGTCCATTCTGGGTCTCACTACTCCCATCTCTATCCACACATAGAGTGGCGTTAGGTCAGATCAGGCCTGAAGACCCTGCCTCCGGCAGCTGGGCGACTTGGCTCCGCCCCCTCGTCGCCTGTGCGCGGTGCCGCCCCTCTCCTCCGCGCTCCCCCCGAGGAAATGGTTCGACCGAAGCGGGTGGTGCCGAGGTGCCCAGGCCGCTCCGATTGGTTAGGGCGAGCCGTACCACGGCGGTGGCGGGGGAGCGCGTCGTGGGCAGCCGGCGGGCTCTGAGACGGTGAGCGCAAAGCCTCAGGCCTCGGCTCCCTCCTTCACTGCGCCGTGCCAGGCCGCCCGCCGGGATGCTGTGGACCGTGGGCCGGCGGTGGGCACGGGACGCGCTGCTCCTGGCTGTCGCAGCGGTGCTGATCCAGGTCGTCTGGCTTTGGCTGGGTAGGCAGAGCTTCGTCTTCCAGCGCGAAGAGATCGCGCAGCTGGCGCGGCAATACGCTGGTGAGCGGGCAGAGAGCGGGGAGGGGAGCGGCCGTTCCGGGAGCCGAGCCCAGGGTTCCGAAGGTGCCATTCCTGGGCCGAGGACCGGTGCCGGCCCTGACTCCACCGCCCCTCTCCCTCCACCAGGGCTGGATCACGAGCTAGCCTTCTCTCGGTTGATCGTGGAGCTGCGGCGGCTGCACCCAGGCCACGTGCTGCCCGACGAGGAGCTGCAGTGGGTGTTCGTGAATGCTGGTGGCTGGATGGGCGCCATGTGCCTTCTGCACGCCTCGCTGTCCGAGTATGTGCTGCTCTTCGGCACCGCCCTGGGCTCCCGCGGCCACTCGGGTCAGTGCTAGCGGCGGGCTGGACTGGGAGGCTGGGGTTTTAAAGGGGCCCATGCCCTCCTTTCTGATGTTTGGCTGGGCCGTTGCGATGGCGCGAATACTCTGAGAGTGTCCATGTGATTGTCACTCAGGGCGCTACTGGGCTGAGATCTCGGATACCATCATCTCTGGCACCTTCCACCAGTGGAGAGAGGGCACCACCAAAAGTGAGGTTTTCTACCCAGGTGGGTAAGAAGGCTCTGTCAGAGAAGTGGGTCCCTTCACGCAGGGGGTGCCGACAATTGCGGGGAACATGGCATGGAAGAGGAGTGTGTTGGGGGGGGCCCTCCTCATGGTTCCCTTCCTCCACCCTCCCACCGTCCCATAAGCCACAGGTTATTGGCCCGGGCATAGCTGAGGGACTCGTGCATTACTCTGTCAAAAGGAAACAAAACATAACTTCCTGCTAATCATGTCTGATTTTTGTCTGCCCAGGCACAATTTTACCCAGCCAATATTCCAGCAACTGTTGGGTAGACAGTGGCTAATCAGAAATGCTCTCAATACCCCAAAGACAGGACAGACAGTTATCTTTTCTGTTTTTTAATAGTGAAACAATTAAGAAGTAGAGCACTAGACTTCCCAGTATGTTTGAGGTTGGGTGTATGCATTGCAGGCATGGTGGTTGAACAGCTACACTTTTCAGATAAAGCCACACAAGTCCTGGAACTACCCCTTCCCTAGCTACACCCCTAGGTTTGGCTAAATTTCTGCTTGATTTGAGTGAGGCTTGGGAGTGCAGACTTTCGTACAGTGGGTCCATGGCCAGGCAAGGTAGCCCTCCATGGCTTCCCCCAGGAGAGGACATGGGCCAGGTGATGTCACAGAACATGTAGGAGTGGCTGTCTGGGCCAGCCCAGTGAGGGAGGGCTTTTTGTTTTTCTGAAGCTCCCTCTCCATTCCTCACCCCTAGATAGCCCATGGGCCAGGGAAGCAGCAGCCATGAAAGGGCAGGGCAGAGCTAGGCTCCTCACTCCGGTGCTCCCTGTCCCCCAGGAGAGACAGTAGTGCATGGGCCTGGTGAAGCCACGGCTGTGGAGTGGGGGCCAAACACATGGATGGTGGAGTACGGCCGGGGTGTCATCCCATCCACCCTGGCCTTCGCTCTGGCTGACACTGTCTTCAGCACCCAGGACTTCCTCACCCTCTTCTATACTCTTCGCGCCTATGCCCGGGGCCTCCGGCTTGAGCTTACCACCTACCTCTTCGGCCAGGACCCTTGACCAGCCAGGCCTGAAGGAAGACCTGTGGATGGACAGGAGCTGGCAGGCCCGCATATATCCACTTGCTGGAGTCCATGTTTACAGACAGGGACATACTCAAACCATGCAGATCCTGAGTTCCTGCTGTATGAGCAGGGATATCCATGCTTATGTATCCAAAACCAGAGACCCATGGGAACAAATAAGACACATACAGACACTGAGACCTGTGCGTACAGTAGGACCATGCACTCACACTCATCCAGAGAGGGAGCCCCCGGTATACCAAGGGAGCCAGTTGTGTTCAAACACACATCACAAGCTTGACTCACTAACTCAGGCCTTTCCAGAGCTCCACAGCTTCCTACCCTCTCCCCACCAAACGGGTTCTGGAGTTAAGGTTGGGGGAGGGTATTATACTGTCTCACTCTGACTCCTCAATCCAGCAGCAATTTGAGGGGGAAGAGGAGCTGCCCTTTGGAGGCCCCCTTCACCCGCAGCTGTGATGCCCTTCCCCTTCTCCCCTGTCCTCACCATATGCCTTATCCCCATTCTACTCCCCTGCTATGCAAGTGCCCCTGTGGCTTGTCCCCAACCCCCTCAGCAACGAAGTCAGCTGGGGAACCAGAGTTAGGTGAAGAATGCTTGAAGTCAGAGTCTTCCATCCCAGAAAGACCCCCACGGCTTCTTTGGAGGTGTGATGGGGAAACTGGTTTCAGCCCAGGACCCACCACTGAGGAGAGGATCTAGACAGGTGGGCCTAATTCCAAGGGGACCTTCCTGGCCTGGAGAAGGCCTTTTACACACACAAACACACACATGCACACATATACACACATGTATATCACAGTTTTCAGACAGCCCCTGCTGCATTCTCTATCCATCTGTCTGTTTCTGTTAATAAAGATTTGTTGATCTATTTCATCTTTTACTGTGTCTGAGCAGCCAGAAAAAGCCTCTGATTCCTGGGGACCTCCAGAAGATATCTCCCTTGCTGTATGATTCATGGTAGCTGCTTTTTTTTTAGAGATGGGGTCTCCTCTGTTTCCCAGGCTGAAGTGCAGTGGCACAGTGATGTGATCATAGCTCACTGCTGCCTTGAACTCCTGGTCCCAAGCAATCTTCCTGACTTAGCCTTACGAGTAGCTGGGACTATAGGCAAATGCCACCTGGTTAGCTTTTTAAATTTTGTTTAGAGACAGGGTCTTGCTATATTGTCCCAGCTAGTCTCCAACTCCTGGCCTCAAGTGATCCTCCCTCAGCATCAGGAGTAGCTGGGATAACAGGAACAAGCCACTGTGCCTGACAAGAGTGGCTTTTGACTAGTAGGGACTATATATTTGAGTGTGCCTTAGAATCACCTAGGACACTCTTTGAGTCAGTAGCTCAGACTACTGAGCTCCATTGCCAGAGATTAGCATTTTCAATAGGATCCCCTCTAACAGTTGTGAATGCCACAATTTGAGAAATTCAGGACAGGATGACCTGGAGTATGTCTTGGCCTTACCTCTGCCAGTGCAGTTCTGGGAACAGTCCTAAGAATTCTCCCCTGGATAGCCATGGGGTGGCAGTGTGCACCCACTTTTTAGCTAAAAGAGGCCTAGTTCCCAGTTGGCTATTTCTGGACTCCCAGAGTAGTGTCTGCCCCCACCAAATATAGGAGTTCCTCCAGTCTGTGGTCTGCCTTCTGCAGGACCCACCACTAATGTAGGGGCTCTCAGAGTGAAAGACACAATACCTGGCAGTATGTGAGGTAGGTACGGCCAGGACTAGGGTAAGGCAAGAGAGGCACCTAAACTGCACTCACTCCCAAAGACTCTGCTCTTGCCTTCTTAACTTCTGCACCCTACACACCAACTGTGCCTTACCCTCGTCCTGGCCCTGTTCTGAGCATAAGGCATAGATCACCCCTGCTTCTCAGGATTCTTGGTATATTAAAAATGGAAGAAACATGGTCATAAAAGTCACATATTTTAACATTCTATAAACACAAATCCAAAAGACTATATGTATAACTGCATTTGGAAACAACATCGAAAGTCAATTTGTGACTGTGGAGTCAAGGTAAGTTGGCCATCCTGAACCCAACCCTTCACTGCCACTACCCCTGATTCTTCACCCTCACTACCACCGACTCTTCACCCTACCACCGTGTCAGGCATGGTTGGCCCTGGCTGGCACCTCTCCATTGACCCCAGATTGCAAAGCCATGCCTCCTTGGGGTATTCCTTCCACTCTGTAACCCACCTCTGCCTGTAGGGTCACAGCCCACATCTGTCAGGGATCCAGCTTGCCCTATCATTCCCCGCAAACTTCCACAAAGGACTAGTTCCCAGGACCCTCCCAATCTCTGCTACTAAATCCATTGGTCATGTCATAGTTCTCAACTTTGTGTGTGTGTGTGTGTGTGTGTGCACGCACCGAAGATTGATTTCTTCATTTCTTGCAATTGAAGTACTCTTCTATGACATCCTTGGCCTGAGACTCCTTGTCATAGTCCTTAACTACTACATAACTGTAACCAACCATTTTATGGGGCTTCCCCTCTCTCAGTTTTACAGAGGCCAACCCATTCCCCGAGTTTCTTGTCATCAGCCTTAATTAAGTTGATTTGGTATTCAGCACAAAGGGCCTCCACCAACTTGACATACATAGGCTCATCACAGTTGGATGCAAGCGCACAAAGAGGGGCTTGGCGTTTGTTTAAGGCTTTGGCAGCTTCGCGTATTCCACATACTAGGCCATCGTGGATGAGGGCAGTCTTCAGCACCTCTTGTAAAGCAATATTAACGTCCATTACACTTCCAGCAGCAATGCCTTCCTCAGCCATCGCGGTGGTTTATGGGTTATAGGTGAAGCCGAATCTTGAACACATCCAAGCCTCCACCTTAGTTCTCAACTTTCATTTTACACAGGTAGTCACTCTGAAGGCACTCTTGACTTCTGGGACACTACTCTTCCTTAACTACTGCCTCCTTTACTGCTTTACTGGATTATTCCCTTTTTCTTTTCTTTTCTTTTTTTTTTTTTTTTTGTAGAGACAGTTTCACCATGTTGGCCAAACTTGACCTCAAGTGGTCTGCCCACCTTGGCCTTCCAAACTGCTGGGATTACAGGCATGAGCCACTGCGCCCAGCTGCTGGATTCTTATCTTCTCATTCTCTGACTTCCTTGGACTTAGCCCTCAAACCTGTTCTCTACTTACACCCCTTCCCAGGTGATTCTGTAACTTTACCATTTATGTATCTTGACTTCTAAATTTTTGTTTCAGCCTAAATTTCTTCTCTGAGCACCACAGTTGGAAATCTTACTGCCTTCGTCTCTACTCAACATCTCCACTTGGTTGTCTAATAAGGAGCTCAGACTTGAGATATCCAAAGCAAACCGAATTCTCCCAACCCCACACCACCAGCACCCCATAGCCTTTACTGTGTGAATTAAGGGCATCTCCATTTATCCAGCTGTCCAGAGACATTTTGGACACTTCTCATTCTCTCACATCCCACATCCAATCCATCATCAAATACTATTTTTATCTGCAGAATATATCCAGACTCTAACCATGTCTTCTCACCTCCACTGTCGAGGGGGGGACACCAACGGCCACTTAACTGATCCTCATGTATGCATCTTGTGTGGAGGGTTCGCCACACAGCAGCCAGTCAGGCTTTCACTCTCTGCTGAGACATATCCAATGACTTTCCATCTCATTCTATCCTTTCACTCCTTACAAGGGCCTACTCCAAGGTCCATTTCCTCTGATCAGACATTCCAACCACTCACCCCTTCAGTGCCCCATTCCAACCTAGTGGCCTCCTTGCTTTTCTTCCAACACATCAAGCAAACTTCTACCCCGGGGTATTTGCACCTGCTATTCTGACTGCAGTGCTGTTCCCTAGGTACCCATGTAGCCATAGCTGTCTTTCTCCCCTCCTTCAATTCCTGCTCACCGAGTTCTTTGACACTTATAGAATAGTATCTCTTGCTTGGTAATTTTAAATGCCATCAAAAATTTTTTGATGCTCTGTCCTTCAAGAGGTAAAGCCTAAATTCCTCCCCCTCCCCTTTCAGTGGGCTAGACTTACGTACTTTAACAAATAACGTGGCAGAAATAATAATGTGTGACTTCTAGGACTAGGCCATAAAAAGTATTGCTACCTAAAGAGTCTCTCTTTCTTGGGTCATTCTTGGGGAAACCAACTGCCATGTTGGGAGGACAGACAAGCAATCCTATAGAGAGGCCAACATTGCAGGGAAACAGGCCCCCTGCCAATAGCCATGCAAGTGAGCCATCTTGGAAGTAGATCCTCCAGTCCCAGTCAAGCCTTCAGATGACTGCAGCCCTGGCCAACCTTTTCACCACAACACCATAAGAGAAAATGAGTCAGAACCATCCAGACCTACAGAATTTTGAGAAAATAAATGTTTGTTTGTTTGTTTGTTTGTTTTGAGACAGAGTTTCGCTCTTGTTACCCAGGCTGGAGTGCAATGGCACAATCTCGGCTCACCGCAACCTCCGCCTCCTAGGTTCAGGCAATTCTCCTGCCTCAGCCTCCTGAGTAGCTGGGATTACAGGCATGTGCCACCATGCCCAGCTGATTTTTTGTATTTTTAGTAGAGACGGGGTTTCACCATGTTGACCAGGATGGTCTCGATCTCTTGACCTCGTGATCCACTCGCCTCGGCCTCCCAAAGTGCGGGGATTACAAGCTTGAGCCACCGCGCCCTGCCTGTTTGTTGTTTTAAGCTGCTAAATTATGGAGTGATTTGTTAAACAGCAATAGGTAACTAATACTTCCCTTTCTGTTCCTCCCAACCCAGCTACATTTTTCTCCATGGTGCTTATCACCATCGGACACACTGTATATTGCCCCCACTTAGAATTATACCATTATAATAGGGAGTTTGTTTTATTGGCTCCTGTGTCCACCAGTGCTTGGCAAAAAAATAGATAATAAATGTGTTGGATGAATTAAACATGGGTCTCTGAAGGTCTAGGTCTGTTTCTGTCTCTGTGAGGTATAGGACCGGACTGTGAGTGTGAGAGGCAGCCTTTCCTTCTCACAGATGAAGAGAGATAAACCAGGTCCCAGTCAGCAGTATTCCTTCCCCTCAGCCCTTCCCAGTTGTAGCCCTCCTGGCCCAGACCCCAAAAGTGGATTAACTTTGCTTGATTGATCTGGGAGACTGGGGAGTGACTGCCCAGCCCGTTGCCCCTCAACCCAAACCCTACAAAGTGTTCTCCAAACACTCAGAATTGGAATTTCCCCAAGCCACTTCCTACCGTTCCAGGAAGACACTCTCACCACCTACCTTTGTCCAGGCACCTCTGAGCAGCCAGGAGAAGCTGTGGTGGGGAGAAAAGGAGCAAGCAGGGTGCAGGGGTTCTGGGATCACTATCCTCTGCTCTCCAGACTTCCACTAGACTTTCAGGGCATGTCTGTCTGCCTGGCGCATTCAGATTCTCCCCTCCCAGCATCAGAGAAGGGTGACAGAGGCGGAGGCTTGGCTTTGCCCCAGGATACTCACACCAAACAAAGCTATAGGAGAGGGGGCATCAGTACTGATGGTGATTAGATCACTGGAGCTTCTGGGGGCTGAGGGTTCTGATGGGCCCAGAGGTCTGAAATCTGAGGTGGAGGGCACTGGGGGAGCTGAAGATATGAATGGGGCTGAGCCTCAGCACGGCCAGGAATGGGCCGTAGAGAACCAGGACTTAGTGCTGCAGTAAAAGCTGGGCACAGAAGGGTGCAGAAGGGGTGGCAGCTGGAGGCAGGGAGAGCAGGGAGGAGGCACCCACCATGGGATCCTGGTCAGAAGAGCTGATGGTCTGAGCCAGAACAAACTGAGGCTGAGAGAAGTGGACTGATTGGGAGAGGAAAAAGGAGGAGGAAGGAGGAAAAGGTCATATCTGGATTCCT